CATAATGATAAAGAAGTAAGTGGTCATCAAATTGAGGGTTTTCGTGTATGCTTATTGACATAGCGGTACCATCTGAGAGAAACACCTCTATAAACATTATCGAGAAATTGTCCAAATACAAGGACCTGGAGTTTAACAGGATGTGGGGAATGAAGACTGAGACTGTACCAATAGTAATCGGAGCACTGGGCCTCGATGGAAAGAAATGAACAGTTTTACTGACAGTGTATCAGGTAACATCAACATACAAGTTGCCTAGAAGATTGCCCTACTAGGAACATACCATATCCCAAGAAAAGTTCTATCAATTAAATGGCAATCCTTCTATCGGGTCTAAGCATTCAAAGTAGGAAGCATAACATACACAAATAATAATAATAATAATAATAATAATAAGGACCTTGAAATAGAAATCTCTAAAATGTGGCATATGGGAACATCAACAATCCCTGTTGTAGTTGGAGCCCTAGGACTGGTTGGAAAAGATTGCAGTAGATTAATTGAAGGGATTCCTGGAAGTCCATGCCTCAAGGAGATACAAAAAATTGTTTTGACAAGTACAGTCCACACCTTACGAAGGGCTTTATCTATGTAATTTAAATTTTTGTCAGTGGAAAGTGTCATGACGCCATTTCTAACCTTAGATCCCTGGGCGGGACCCGGAAAGAAATGTGTAAACGCCAGAAATCAAAGAAAATAATAATAATAATAATAATAATAATAATAATAATAATAATATACAGGGTGAACCCAAAAAATGGGAATTTTTGAAGTGCGTATTGCCAGAAATGAGCAAGTGGCAACACTGCGAGACAGTGACCTTGAGCATGTAAACATTTCGCCATTTAGAATTCAAGATGAAATTCACAGTATCCCAGCTGAGATGTTGCAGCAGTCAATGAAGAATCACAACAGCAGATTTCAAGAATGCATTCGTACAGGAGGACGCCATCTACAGGGCGTAATTTTTAAAAAATGAAAAATCCATCATTGTTTCTTAAACGGCATATTTTAAGGTTTCAATTACTATGAATAAAATATTTTTCTTCCATCACTCTTGGTTTTATTGGATTGTTAAAAAGTTCCCGTTTTTGTTTGGGTCACCCCATATATTTGAATATCTTAAAAAAACTATTTAAAAATCTCAAAAATGTTCCAGTTGTAGTTGGATCCCTCGGATTGATTGGAAGAGGTTCCAGTAAACTCAATGATAGGAGTTCCTGGTAGCCATGTCTTAAAGAAATACAACAAATTTTACGCACAAGTAAAGATCACACATTACGAAGAGATCTATGTAAATTTTGTGCGACGTAAAGTTGTTTTTTTTAATGATCAGTATAAAATGTCATGAAGCCATTTCTGACCATAGGTTTCTAGTTGGGATCCGGAGGGAAATATGTATATAACAGCAATCAAAGGAATAAATAATAATAATAATAATAATAATGATAATAATAATAATAATAATAAAAGCTAATAATAAACAAATCTAACCACCCAGACATTGTTATTAGAGATCGCAAGCAAAAAAAACTGCCTCCTTATTGATATGGCCGTCTCTGCAGACTGCAATGTATCATTGAAGATCTTCAAAAAGCTATCAAAATACAAGGACCTTGAAATCAAAATCTCAAAAATGTGGCACATGAGAACATCAACAATCCCTGTTATAGCTGGAGCCCTAGGATTGGGTTGTTTAGATTCCAGTAGATTAATAAATGGGATTCCTGGAAGCCCATGCCTTAAAGAAATACACAAAATTGTTTTCACGAGAACAGCCCACACCTTACGAAGGGCTTTGACTATGTAAAATATGTACGATTTTTATTTATATTTTTTTTAGTTGGTCAGTGGAAAATGTCATAATGTCATTTCTAACCTTAGGTCTCTGGGCGGGACCCGGGAAGAAATGTGTACACACCAGAAATCAAAGGAAATAATAATAATAATAATAACAATAATAATAATAGTTATAGAAAGAAAAATATTAATTATAATATCAGATTAATAATAATATTAATAATTCAGAGAGTTAAGAATAAAAATAATAAAAAAGTAGTGAATAATTTTGTCCTTAGCATAGACACCGAGTCGAGATCTGATAACCTTGGGAAGGTCGTTGATGAAAATTCAGAACAAAAAAAATATGCCGGACATTGAAATTATATGGCTTGCTGTTGAAAATGTTCTTATTCCTCTTCTTCTTTTTCTTCCTCTTCTTCGACTTTTTGGGGTGTTGGCTGGCATAAACCCCCCACCACGAGGGAAACTATGAATATTCTTTATAATGGTTCCCTTAAATTATTTTATTGTGAACACCCCCCCCAACCCAGCTCAGACATGTTGTCGACAAAAGTTAAGGATTTCTATTTCAGTTATGTATTTTCCTGTAAAGAAAAAAGATATTTTGTGTGAAAGAATTATAAGTGTGGCATAATTATCAAGAAGTATTTTTTTTTTTTATTTTAATTATTTTCTCTTTAATCAAGTGGTGACCACATTAAGTGCCCCGGTCCCCGGGCAACGCAGGGTATTCTGCTAGTAAACAAATGTCTAAGAATCAAAATAGAAAGAAGTTGATGAAGAAGAATAAAAGTCAAGACAAGGAAAACTGGAAAGAGAGACCAAAAGAGAAAAAAAGTGAACACAAGAAGAATTAAAAAACCAAACGAAGAAGAAGAAAAACGAAGAAGAGGAAGAAGAAGATGAAACGGAAAAAACAAACGATGCGGGAAGACATGAAGAATATGAAGACGAAAAGGAAGTAGAAACAAAGAAGAAGAAGAAGAAAAACGAAGAAGAAGTAGAAAAGAAACGAAGAAGAAGAAAAAAGAAGGATCGAAAAAGGAGAAGTAATGACGAAGAAGAAACGAAGAGAGATAAACAGAAAAAGAAAGGAAGAAGACGAAGAGGAAGAAGAAAATGTAGAAACGAAAAAAAGAAGAAACGAAAAAAAGAAGAAACGAAAAAAAGAAGAAACGAAAAAGAAGAAACGAAGAAGAAGAAAAAAAGGAGAAAAAAGCAATAAGAAACGAAGAAGCAAGAAAGAAAAAAAGACGAAGACGAAGAAGAAGAAAATGAAGAAAAAAAGAAGAAACGAAAAGAAGAAGAAAAAGAAACAAAGAAGAAGACACGAAGAAGAAGGGGGAAAAGGAGGGGGAGGAGGAGGAAGATTTACGCTGAAGGTACATAAAGAAAAAGAAATGAAGAAGACACGAAGAAGAAGAAAAAGAAGAAGAAGCAGGAAAAGAAAAGTCGAAGAAGAGGAAGAAAAAGAAGAAGAGGAAAAAGAAACGAAGAAGAAAAAGAAGAAGAAAAAAGAAGAAACGAAAGGAAGAAAAAAAAAGAAACAAAGAAGAGACACGAAGAAGAAGGAGGAAGATGAGGGGGAGGAGGAGGAGGATTTACGCAGAAGGTACAAAAAGAAAAGGAAATGAAGAAGACACGAAGAAGAAGAAGCAGAAAAAGAAAAGACGAAGAAGAGGAAGAAAAAGAAGAGGAGGAAGAAGAAGAAGAAGAAGAAGAAGAAGAAGAAGAAGACACGAAGAAGAAGAAGAAGAAGAAGAAGAAGAAGAAGAAGAAGAAGAAGAAGAAGAAGAAGAAGAAGAAAAGATAAAGGAAACGATGAGCAAGAACAAAAGAAGAAGAAAAATAGCTGAATAGCCAAACTGGGGGATTTTACAAATTGAAGCGAGAGACATTTGTTGGATTTCCAACTGCAGGGCTTCTGTGAAAGGAAATTTCAAGCAGGAGTTGTTCACATAGAGAAATTCCCGGTACTGTGTAATCATGGAGAATGCGTACGAGAAGTAAGAACGAAATACAATGTCTAATGCACTGACAAGAAACCAGTTTTTTTTTTAAAAAAGAGTCTTTCCTAAAAAAGTGATGAAACATTTCTTTTCCCCATTGAATTATATATTAAAAATGTACTTACAGTTTTAGCTTATGCAAATTTCTTCAAGGAAGCGCTTCGGTTATTAATTTTAACACCATTTTCTTTCACACTTTTTATGGCATTTTATGACGTAAGTTTTATACATTCTCGAGTCGTTAAGTACAACGCATCAAACGGAAAATAAAGTAGCCCGAACCTATATTTGAATTCCTAAGAATACAGAATAACATTTGCAATTTTTATTTTTTAAATAAAATTCAAAGCGGGGAATGGTATCATAAAAGAGACACTGATAAAGAGTTGAGCGTTATCTAAAAAAAGATTCACTAATAAACAGTTGAGCAGTGTCTTACAAAAGACTCTATTATAAAGAGATGAGCGGTTCTTAAAAGAAATCCATTTATATTGAGTGGAGTCTTAAAAGATTCACTAATAAACAGTTGATCTGTGTCTTACAAAAGACTCTATTATAAAGAGATGAGCGGTTCTTAAAAGAAATTCATTTATATTGAGTAGAGTCTTAAAAGATTCACCAATAAACAGTTGAGCGGTGTCTTACAAAAGACTCTATTATAAAGAGATGAGCGGTTCTTAAAAGAAATCCATTTATATTGAGTAGAGTCTTAAAAGATTCATTAAGAAACAGTTGAGCGGTGTCTTACAAAAGACTCTATTATAAAGAGATGAGCGGTTCTTAAAATAAATCCATTTATATTGAGTAGAGTCTTAAAAGATTCACTAATAAACAGTTGAGCGGTGTCTTACAAAAGACTCTATTATAAAGAGATGAGCGGTTCTTAAAAGAAATCCATTTATATTGAGTAGAGTTTTAAAAGATTCACTAATAAACAGTTGAGCGGTTCTTTAAGAGTCTTTGTTATAAAAGTTGGAACCCCCTTTTTTATATTTTTTTTTGTTATTCTACTATAACAAATGGTGTACAACTGCTGTTGTAGACGGCATGGAAGTTGTTGAAAGTAGACATATTCTTAATAACCCAATACGGCCAGTTCATTGTGACCGTGTTCAACATTGATGTTATTAAGGGTTGGTTTCTTGCTTTTTTTTATATATATTAAAGACTTTCATTACTTTTAAAATACGTTTTGCAGTTGGAGGCCTGAAAGCGCTCGAAATCAACAAACATTTGGGAAATTTTTGCATTGATGAAGTTCAGAAAAGAAAACACTTGTGCGTATATTGGAATAAATCTTATAAGAAATTAACGAAAGCATTTACGGCAATATAGACAAGACTCTCTCTCTCCGTCCATTTGCTCATATATTTGTGTTCGGGGACTTTAACGCCCACTATACCAAGTGGCTTAAAAACTCTATAACTGACCTTTCTGGCATACAAACCCTTAACTATTCAATTTCTCAATCCCTCTCGCATAGAGTTGACTTTCCCACACATTACCTCAACAACCTGGACGGTAATACTTCCCTTCTTGATCTCTGTTTCTCCTCCATCCCCGACTGCTGCCGCGCCACGCAGCTCTGTCCTCTTGGCAACTCTGATCATGCTGTAGTGTCTGTCAGCATCTCCATCAACTCGACCCCCAGCAAAGAAGCTTCTACCAACAGAACATCGTTCTGTTATCAACGAACAGACTGCGACGTTTCTTATGGCATTGAGCACTTTAATGCTAGTAGGATATTTTACCATACTGACAAACCTTTCCAGGTGGAACGATTTTATCTTTTTTTTTTTTTTTTTTTTTTTTTTGCAGCCATTTTAGATCTTGGCGAGATGATTTACCCTCCTCAACGTTCGGGTTTGGTTTGTCTGTCAAATTGAATTCACCCGGTGGTATATAGGGTACTCACCTTACTACTACAGTCACTGGCTGCCTGAAGATTGTGTACATGCACATGAAACTTTAGTAGTGGCCAGTCACTGTCAACGTTGTTTTAAAATATATATATATATATATATATATATATATATATATATATATATATATAAATCCTCCCTCTATTTCTCCAGAAATTCGACTTTCCTTTTCCGGTAAGATTATTTCTTACTGTATTTATCTACGATTTCTCCCAATCTCTCTCCCCTCCCCTACTCTTTCTCTTTCCAATTCTCTTTTTATTCCCTCTCACTCTCTCTTACTCCTCCTATCTGTTTCTATCTTACTTGTCCGCTTTCTCTTTCTATCACTCTTCTCTCTCTCTCTCTTTCTCTCTCTCTCTCTCTCTATATATATATATATATATAAATATATATATATATATATATATATATATATATATATCCGTCTTCTTTCCCTTTCTTTCCAAATCTCTTTGTTCTCACTATCTCCCCTGTCACTATCCTACTCCCTCCTTTTCCTCCTCATCCCACTCCCCGCCCCTCCATCTATATACGCATCTTCCATTCTCCTTCTCTTTCTTTCTCATTTTCCTTATAACCCTTTATTTCTGTCTTTCTCTTTCTCCGGCATCTCCGTTGGTGCCATTTCTTCATATTGAAACGCATTTATATTCCGGGGCTTCCCAATGTCTGCCAGCACCAAATAAAATGGCAATATCAGGGAAGTTCTCCAAGTCCTCAAATGAAGAAAATGGCTATTCCCCGAAACTCTACTCGAAGACTCCTCCACACGCCTCCTAATCCTCACTCTTTCTCGCTACTCTTCCCACGTTAAAATCTGTTTGTCACTTTCCAAAAATGTCAGGTCGAATGTCACACACGCAAGTGTTAGGTTTCTTCGCAAAATTGGAAGAAAATTATAAAGGAAAAAAAGAAAAGAACAAGATTCATGAACAAAATAATCATTTTTACGCCATTCTTTTTTTTCAGCTTTTGAAATGTTTAATAGTTTTCACCTTCATTTCGGTTGGTTCATTTTTTCCATCTGTCTGTTAATTCTCTTATCGACTTTATCTACTACTCTTAACGCTAATATTTTCGGTCTGTAAACTTAACCTACGGACCAGCAGAACAAAAAAAAATGGTATACCAAAGGACGCTACTTTCTCTTAAGAACCGTTATCACTGTACCCTCCCTCATTAACTTTTATTATTTACAAAAACTACTTTTAGAGTTTTAATAAAACCCTAACATATGAAACTTGATTTACACATATTCTTTCTCCCCGAGATCTGACAACAAAAATGTTAAGCGCTTTATTTATTATATAGTTTATTTATTTACAGTAAAGTTTACCCTGTACAAGTCCCGAGGGACACTCGTGGTGGAGGATTATGTTAAGGAATAGTATATGAATAGGAGGGGAAGATAACGGTTAATTCTAAACTTGAAAAGGTTAAGATTATAATTGTTGTGGATTCCGTGAATGGAATCCTGCACAAATAAATAAACAACGCCAGTAATTGAGATAGAAAAATAAGTGTATTAAACGTAAGAATACAGATTTGAAGTGAAGATTAGTAGTCCAGTAATGCGGGTTAGTAGAAAGTATATGTACAAGTCTCTGTAAGTAAAGCCGTAATCCTCTCTCTCTCTCTCTCTCTCTGTATATATATATATATATATATATATATATATATATATATATATATATATATCTGGACTCTTGTATAACTCTCTGAGAACACCCCGTTTCTGTCTCCGTATCTCTCAACCTGTCTCAACGTATCTCAACCTGTCTCAACGTATCTCAACCTATCTCCACGTATCTCGTTATTTAATATCCCACCCACGAGGAATATATGTGGCCCAAGGCCGAGTTTAATGTGGGTTTCTCTGAGCCCGTAGCCTCGGCCAAAGATATACCCATTGAACCCGCCTAGACGGGTTCAGGCCCTGTCTACCTCCCCGGACGAAACCTTGCCCTTCGGCAAAGATTCGTCCGGGTTCCTCTCTGCTAACACAGAGAGTTCGACAGACGTCGAGACTGTATCTCGACGTATCTCAACAGTAGGTATTCTCTCTCTCAGTATAAATATACTTTGGACGAGTCCAGCTTATGTAAACAGGGGAGATCCCCACAACAATAATGATCTGGGGAAACATCCTCTTGGGAGTATTTTCCACAGAGCAGTGGTTCGTGGGAAGAAGCTGTTTGAATGGAATTTACTTCTCGCCGATTGAATACGAAGGGACTGTGAATAGTTTGCTACAATCTAAGTGGCATGGCGGATCCAAGCCGTGAAGTTTAGGCCCGGCGGAACCAAAGAATGTATTTCGTCCGAAAACTTTCGATGACCGTAGTGATAGAGTAGTAAGAGACCCGTCAGACCCCGCCTCTATGCGAGTGTTTGGAGGGTGGAAAATAATTCTTCTCCCACAAGGACTCGGAGACGATGTTCAGCCGAAGGATATATCCCTACACATGTTCATCGGAACGAGATATCCTTAGGCATGGTCAGGTGAACGAGACATCTCTAGACATGTTCAGCGGAAGGATATATCCCTACACATGTTCATCGGAACGAGATATCCTTAGACATGGTCAGGTGAACGAGACATCTCTAGACATGTTCAGCGGAAGGATATATCCCTACACATGTTCATCGGAACGAGATATACTTAGACATGGTCAGGTGAACGAGACATCTGTAGACATGTTCAGCGGAAGGATATATCCCTACACATGTTCATCGGAACGAGATATCCTTAGACATGGTCAGGTGAACGAGACATCTCTAGACATGTTCAGCGGAAGGATATATCCCTACACATGTTCATCGGAACGAGATATCCTTAGACATGGTCAGGTGAACGAGACATCTCTAGACATGTTCAGCGGAAGGATATATCCCTACACATGTTCATCGGAACGAGATATCCTTAGACATGGTCAGGTGAACGAGACATCTCTAGACATGTTCAGCGGAAGGATATATCCCTACACATGTTCATCGGAACGAGATATTCTTAGACATGGTCAGGTGAACGAGACATCTCTAGACATGTTCAGC